AATATAAGAAAGTGAAAATCAAAATCAACAAAAAACTATGAACCAGAGACACTTTTTGGGGGTGGGGGCGGGAGGGGAAGGATTGGGGTCAGAATGGGGCGTTTGCAATTGTATGGGGGAATATAAAAATAAAATTTAATATTAAAAAAAAAAAGAATAAACAATATGAGAACATTTTCAGACAAAGCCAGTTAAACTTCACCATCAAAAAACTATATAAAGGAAAATCCAAAGGATGACTTTCAGGCAGAAAAAAAATAACTCCAGAAGTTTTGAGGTGCTAGAAGACATGGAGCCACATATCAGCAAATGTAAACAAATGACTAGAAAACCAAAACAATAATGTCTTTAGACTTTAAAAAATATGAAATTTCAGTTCACTAAAACAACAGCATAGACCTGAGGAAAGACAAATATAATTAAATATCTTAATTTTCTTCTCTTGAATAGCATTAGATTTTGGTAAGTTAAAGTTGCACATTAGAATTTCTAGGGTAACCACTCAAAAAATGGAAAGAGCATATAATTTTTAAACTATTGGAGAAGAAATAAAATGCAACAACAAAAACAATTCATTCAAAAAGAAGAGGAAAAAAGAAAATTGGGACAGAGAAAAAAATCAAGAGTTCAAAAATAAGGGTACAGTTGTATGTTAGATGGAGCAGACATAAACACAAAAAGCATTAGAGGGACTCTTTACACTGAAAAAAGTCTCAGTAAGATAAAAATTGTAGTTTTTATGGGTACAGTAAGATATATACACATATTGAGATGTGAAGCTGTACTCCCAAACTTAAATAGCATTGTAAACGAATGACAAATCAAAAAAATTTTATTTAAAAAAGAAGACTTCTCATTTCATATGCACTTGTCTCAAAATATATGAAGCAAAAACTAACAGAATATACGTAAAAAGTAAACAATCTACAATCAGAGGAGGTATAAAATACACTTTTCTCAGTAACAAGTAGGTAAAAATAAGAAAAATCAACTGCATAAAAAATGTAAACAACATGATTTAAAAACTTGACCTAACATATAATTTTGCACCCAATAAATACAGAATAAGCACACATGGACCATTTTTAAAAATTTACCAAGTGCTGCATTATAAAGTAAATCTTAAATTTCAAAGTACTAAAGTCATACAGAGCTGCTCTCTCCCAAATGGCAGCTACCAGGGATATGCTGTCATCTTAATTCATTAAGATAAATAAAATTGAAAATCCATTCCTTAGCTGTACCAGCCACGTTTCAAATGCTCAGCAGCCACACAGAAGCTATTGTATTGGGCAATACATATACAGAAAATTTCCACTACTGAAATAAAGGCTACTGGATAGCACTGATAAAAAGCATTTTCTCTAACCGTAATGCAACTGTAACAGAAATCAGCAATAAAAGGATAACTAAAAAATTCACCTTATGTAAATGGAGACCAATATTCATAGATTATTTAATCTTTTAAGTATAAATATAAATGTACTATAATATCAGTTTTCTCAAGTTTTTTTTTTTTAAATATTTATTTTACTCATGCATACAAGAACTGGGGTACAGGCGACATGCGCGGGAGGGTGAGAGGATTCACCAGAGACAGAGTGGGGAACAGAACAGGCAGACTGATGAAAACACACTGCTGAGGGGAGCAGCAGGCGAGACAGGAGAGGTCTGCTCACCATATAGGACCCTCCCCGGCCAGCCGGGTTGAACCGGCGCTGCAGAGGCTGCGGACAGCTTCACAGCGTGGTGCTCAACTGCCTGCACCACCAGGGAAGACCCTAACCAAGTTATTTAAAAATATGACACACTGATGTCAAAATTGACATACAAGCGTAAATTTCCAAAAAACAGTCAAGACCCTCTTATAAAAGAACAAGAAGGCAGGATGATGAGAAGACTTAGAAAGTTAAAGAAATTAAGATAAAGTATGATATTTCTTAGGAATATTCTCAAATGGCCCAGCTATCTTTGCTCCAGGGACATGCTGGTTGTGCTTTCCTACTTCCCAAAAAGCTGAGGGTGGCCGTGTGACTTTTGGGCCACTGAAAAGAACAGAAGTGTCACTTCATGACAGAAAACTTAGGAGTCAACACACAATTTACTGCATTCTCTTTCCCCTTACCAATACTCCAGATGATAAAAGTCCCATTGCTCTAAATCCCAGCGTGAGAATACACAGAACAGAGCCCAAGCCAATCCATGAAACTTGAGGTAGAAATAAACCTTCATGACTTCAGTCCCTAGTACTTTGGGCATTATTTCTCACCACAGTATAACGTAGTCAAGCTAATCATAGTATGACATGCATATAGAGAGAGATAAAACAACCCACAGAATAAAGTGGAGAGTCTATAAACATCTTTGATTACAACAGAGGTGGTGACTGCAAAACAAAAGGAGAAAAGATGACTTTCAAAATATATTGATCAGCCGTAAGTAAAATTCACACCATACTATAAAGATAAATTCCAGGGCCTCCCTGGTGACACAGGGGTTAAAGTCACAGCACTATCAAGCTATTGCCAGCCACTGCAGCATGAGTTTGATCCCCGGTCAGGGAGCTACCCACATGGTGCAGCAGACCTCTCCTGCCTCGCCCATTGCTCCCCTCAGCTGTGGATTTCAGTCAGTCTGCCTGTTCTGCTCCCCACTCTGTCTCTGGTGAATCTTCTCACCCCCAACATCTCTGGCCTACACCCCAGTTCTTGTACACATAAATAAATAAATCTTTGAGAAAAAATTAATAAATTCCAGATGTATTTTAGACCTATTATGGAAGGCAAAAATGATTCAACTTTAGAAAGATAATATAGAAGAATATCTTCATAACCAATAGGTAGGGAAACACTAACTATGAAGCAAAAGACTGATTTATTTGAAGCGATAAATTAAGGATTGTTATCAAAACACATCACACAGAGAGTGAAAATACAAGCCATGGAATGGGACAAAATATTTCAACACATACAGCCGACGTGGGACTCATAGCCAGAAAATATTTCAAATTTCTGGTCAATGATAATTCCAATAGATTATCCCAATAACCAAAAAATATCCCAATAGAAAAACAGGCAAACGACTAGACTAGGCATTTCACAAAACAGTTTATTCAAATGGCCCATACATAGGGAGGTATGTATGAAAACTACAATGACAATCGTCAGATTGGCAAAAATTTTAAAGTCTGACAATTGCAATGACAACTTTTATACTAGGCTAGTAGTAGTATAAAGTAATACAACCAGTTTGGAAAGCTGGTGTTATTACACTAGTAAAACTGAATAAAGACACGTCTGATGACTTAGCAATCCTATCCCAGAGCTCAGGCAGTCACAGACCGAAGAACTCAAGAACATGTTCTGAGACACAGGAGCAAAAAGACACCGGAGCATGCACAGTAGCACCATTCTTAATAGACCAAAATTAGAAACAACTCAAACATCTTTTAAGACTAGAACAGCTAGTGTGGTGTATTTATAAATAGAATACTCTGAGGTAATAAAAATTAAAAAACTAGCCACACATGACAACCTGAAGAACCTTACTTTAGTAGTATTAAGTAAAATAAAAATTACAGGGAGAACACACGTGAATATACACTGCAGGCAGAGAACGGGGCAGGGAGCCCTGTTTGGAGGTTACTGCAAGAATTCAGATGAGAAATGATGGTGCCTGGACCAAGTGGTAGGAGTGAAGATGGGGAAAGGTGGTTAGATGTAGGGCATATTTTGAAGTTAGAAATGATAGAATTTGATTGGATGTGACTTGTGAGCGAAAGAACAAAGCCAAGGCTGATGACACCTCGGTTTTTGGCCAGATAGATGGTGAACGGTGGACACCATTTAAAGGCACGAAGATGAATGGGGTTGGGGGGCAGCAGGGAGGGAGGGCAGGGTTGAGAGGTAAAATCAGCTCTGTTTATGCTCCCACCTTACACTGTGCTTACACAATGGACCAAACCAAGTGCTCCTTGGCCTCCAAATTCCTATGTTGAAGCTCTCACTCTCAATATGATGGCACCTGGAGAAAGGGCTATTTTGGAGGTGACAATTGGATTTAGGTGAGGCCACAAGGGTTAGGGCTTCATGATAGGGTGAGTGTCTTGAGAAGAAGAGAAACCAGAGAGCTGCTTGCTCTCATTCTGCCATGTGAGAACATGGAAAGAAGGTGGCTGTCTGCTGCCTGGAAGAAAGTCACCAGAACCTGACCATCCCAGGACCCTGATCACAGACTTCCAGGCTCCAGAGCTGTGAGAAAACAAGTGTCTGCTGTTTAAGCCACCCAGTCTATGGTGGTGTTTTTTAATGGCAGCCTGAGCTGCCCAGCACAGGAAGCAGAGGGCACAAGGGACACACACTCCTATCCCAGACTTTTGAGAAATCCCCCCAGTTCCTTGTATTTTGATCAGTGCTTCAAGCTGGGTCAAAATGCTGGTGACACCCCAGGGAAACTACTGTCCATTCACACAGGACATACACCCAAATATGCTCATTATAACATCACTTATACACAGAAAAAATAGCAACGGACTAAAATCTTATTAACAAGAAAATAGAGTAAAAAAAATTACAGCATGTTCAAATAAATTATGGTATACAGATACTAGAGTACTAGTCAGCAGTTTAAACTAAATGAAGTTGAACTACATACATTAAAAGGATAAATCTGAAAAATATAATGTTGAATAAAAAACAGGTTGCAGAACATACAATGTGATACCATTTATGAAAGTTGGAAATACTATATATAACTTCTGATACATATATATGGGGTAATGATAATAAAACATGCATAAAAATTTAGTAGGGAGGGGAGAGGTGGAATCACGTAAAGTTTAGAGGGGGCTTCAAGGGAAGCAATTTTAAGGAAAGTGCAATTCTTTAAAAAGCACCAGGAGCAAATAAGGCAAAAAATTTTAATTTGATAAAGCTGGTTTGAAATTTGACAATTGAAATAAATATCAAGAAAAATACTTATTTGACTGGAGAAATACTCACATTCTCGAAAATCAGTTAATTTGGTCATCACCTCACTCTTGAACAGCTGAATGACTTGTTCAACGATCTCTCGATTTTGATTCTGGTCCAAGGCATACAGATATTTCTCCAGAAGAGGAATGTTTTTCAGATTCCAGATGAAGTTCTCCCGACGAAGACTACTTAACTTTGGATGCTGGAATTTCTAAATCAAAAGCAAAAAACTCTTAAAACTCCTGATAGAGCAATTACTGCTACAAGACATGCTGTGTGCCAGGAGAGGCACCTCCCAGTGCAAGCCAGGGGCACGGGGTGAGAGCCAGCGTTCTCCCAGGCGCCACTCTACACATGGTGTAAGTATGACTGTATGGGACCTCACAGCTTTAAGAGCAAATGCTTATCTCATTGACCCTCATAAAGTTGTGAAGACAGCAGTATCCACAGCCTACAACAGGAGACAGCTCTGAAGAACACTGCTCTCACCCACGTGACCTGCCCTGGTGCCTTGTGACCTCTTGGATTCCATCTTCTTCCCTTTGCTCACTCTCCTCCAATCACTGTTCAGGGACCATGCAGTCATGCTTTTTCCTTTCCATTTGTTGTTGTCTTACCGTGGGATGCTGGTCCCCAGATACCCCGATGGGTAGTGTCCTCAATTCCAACAGGCTTTTACTCTAAAGTCACCTTTTCTGGGCAAGCTTCCTGACCACTCTATCTAAAACTTCAACCCTCTCTTCAATACTTCTCATCCCTCTTCTCTGCTTATTTTCTATTTTAAGCAATTAGCACATACTGCTATTTATCAGTCACTGTCATCTACTTACCTCCCTTACTGTCTATTCTCACTAGGCTGTCAGCTGCACGAGCACCGGGAAATTTGGTTTTGGTATGTTTTGCTCATTCCTACATCCCGATGTCTAATTCAGTGTCTGCACAAGGAAGGCACTGCCAAAGCAGTGTTTGCTGAATAAAGGAATGTTCTTAGAACAGAAAATTTGGAGTTTGAAATTTTGGAATTGTAACCACTTTACGTAAAATTCTAAGTCGCTTCACCGAGCATTGCAAAAGTGAGAAAACTGAAGTTTAGAGAGGGACGCATGAGGAATCCGCCATGGGGCCAAGGGAGGACTTGGTCACCGGCTAAGAGCGAGAGGTCTCTTCCACAGAGAGTGACAGGTGCCCAGAACGAAGTTCGCCCGGTAGAGCAGTTTTCAAATTATTGACCATTACTCTCAGTGTGAAACACATTTTACATCACAACTCACTAAAGAGGCAACATGTACATATAAAGAAAAAAGTCTTAGTGAACAATATATTTAACATTACATCTGTATTCTGGTGGGTTTTTTTTTTTAAGTTCTTATTCCATTTCTTCAAAAAGTGTTCTTCTACATTGATTTCAACAGCCTCATGACGTGGAGTTTGGAAACCTTCCCCAATACGTCTGTTATCACTACCATATCCTTTCTAAGTGGATTTGAATACTTCTTGTAGGATGTTTTTCATTCTTACTGAGATGGTTCTGTATCCTTCCTCTTGCTGAATTAAAATGTGCTTCTTCAAATAGTGTCCATGCCACTGGTTCCAACTGTTTCCTCTGGAGCCATCTGGAAGAGGATTAGCCCTTCTTCTACACAGCTCTAGATATTTGAAGACAGGAAACCTGGCCCCTTAGAGTAAACCTTTCTAGTTCTTTCAGTTACTCCTCACATGACATGGTTTTGAACCTCCTGACTATCTAATGTGCTAAATGCCATTGTGGATAACAAAAGTACACCAAAGGCATTGAAAGCAATGTTAGGAGTTGAGGCTTTGGAGGGTGGGGTTGGGGCTAAAGATGAAGATGTGTGGAGATAGTGGAGAAAAAATACGTTCACACTATGCCTCTTTGTATGTTTGAAATTTTTATCATGTGCACATAAAAGTTTTATTTTATTTTTTTAAAAGATTTATTTTTTATGCATACAAGAGCTGGGGGGCAGGCCAGAGGTGTGGGGGTTGAGAGGATTCACCAGAGACAGAGTAGGGAGCAGAACAGGCAGACTGACTGAAATATACTGCTGAGGGGAGCAGTGGGCAAGTCAGGAGAGGTCTGCTGTGCCATATGGGTAGCTCCTTGGCTGGGGATCAAACTTGTGCTGCAGAGGCTACAGACAGCTTCATAGGTTGCATCTCAACCCCTTGTGCCACCAGGGAGGCCCTAACTTTTATTTTTAAGGAAAGTGAAATGTAACACTTGTTGGGTTTTCAATGGAGCAAAAGTCCACTCAGAGAAGGCCTCGGGCAGCTAATATGGTGGTCCTGTTATCCCGTACATCCCGCAGGAGTATAGAGTGATGGGAGGAATACTTGGGATCTGGACTGGAAATCAGATCTAGGTTTTCACTAGCTCTACCATGAAATAGTTCAGATCTTAGTTTCCTTCGGAGTAAAATTGTAACAGGGTGGCCCCCAGGAAAAGGGGAGGTTGCAGGTTCCCTGCCCCACCCGAAGGAGAGTAGAACTGAGCAGGGGGGGGAAGAAGCTGGAAAGGAGACTGGAGAAGGAAGGAAGCAGGATGGAGAGCAAGAAGGAGAACTGGAGGAGGCATGTGGAGCAGAGAGACATGTGAAGAAGCTCCACTTGCTTTTTGGTTCTGGACTGATTGAAACAGACGTGGCTGAGACCCATGGGGAGGTTAACAATGGCAGCTTTTATCTTGATTTTGATTTTGTTTTTCTTTTCTCCCAGACTTGTCTGGCTGCTTCTGACCATTTTCCATGGGTCCCTGATAAAAGGAGCTTTAGACTTGTGGCAAGCCTTTGCCCCTTGCTTTGGGCCAATCATGCTTGGCTGGAGTTTTACCCACGAAGGGATGGATGGCTCTGGGTGCTTGATTTGGAAACTATATTCTTCCCCTTTTCTGTACTGCACTCTAATGTATTAAAGTTCCTTTCCATTAAATGTCTATATGTTTTATCTTGATGCAGCTGATGGCAGAACCTATTTAGAGCAGGCAGGTTTGGGGGTTCTGGGTTGTCCCTCTCCCTGCCCTGTAACAAAATCAGAATACAAATACCAATCTCACCATCATGTACAACAAGGAATGACACTTCATACAAACAGATGCTCAGTAAACATTTGCTGAATGCGAACATTGAGGTCAATATACCCGACTTCTCTGGCCTTTATCTGTTTGGCTCCTTAGTATTTCAAACTGCATTTGTGATAGTTTAATCACTGCTCCTTATGAGTCTGTATCAGCCTACGTCTTGTCAGCTTCCTCACTCTCTATGCCTCACCCCATTCCCATTCCCCAAGCACCTTGCATTCTCTTGTACAAACCTCTGACCACAGTCATTTTCCCAAGCCTGCCCTGTATTTTCTTCTTTCTCACACAGAAAAGAGATTTTCAGATCCTGAGATTAACCTCCAGATCACCTCTGATCAAACAGAAGTAAAATTCCAGTACAGATTAGTTGGTCCCTTCACTTGTGAAATGTCACACTTCTGGCCATTATTGACCATAGGTCTCCTGCCTACCCTGGGCTTCCTGCCCAGTTGCTGGAAGTGTCGGTGCCATACCCCTAGCAGATCAGTCAACTTCTGCCACGCCTACAAGATTAAAATACTGCACCTGTGTGGAATTGCAATAGACTCTGTGGCTCATATAAAAACCAAGAACTTACTTCCTGTAAAGACATGCTTTGCATTTAGGTGAGGCATGGCAACAAAGCATGATACCTGCATGGCAGTACCAAGTAAGGAATGCTTTTCTTGGGTCCCTGTACAACTCCCCCATCCCATGCCAGACAACTAAAATAAGCTGTACAGCAGAGCAGCAGATGGTGAACGACACAGCAGAACTCACTCAGCAATGATGTGGTGTCATCTCCTTTTGAAAATTATACTGGTCATTTCAGAATACAGAAGTAAAATTGAAATGTCAATGGCAACAGTCATATGAATGAAGCCCAGAGAGGCAGGGTAGAAGGGAAGATGAATGATAAAGAACTCTTACATGTAACAGGTGCTTATTTAAGTAGATTTGTTTCTGAGGGTGGTGGAGAGTTTACTGAGACATCTACCAGTTTTAACAGTTTTCTAAATGAAATTAATATATGAAGAAAAAAATTTATAGTAATTTAATTATAACAGCTCATTTTAATCCAAATTATATTAATATTCAGAAATTGGTATTTTAATGAATATCCATGGGTGGATTTGCTTCAACCTAATTGAAAACTATATCATCTGAAATGCTTAACATATTTTCCACCCAAAATCTTGCACCACTCAATAATTATCTGTTGAATAAATGAACAGAGTGCAATGTGAAATGGTAACATAAGGGTAACATAATGGTAACATAATGGTAACTACTGCCAACATAAGGGAAACAAAAGAATCTGTCAGTTGATAAACATTTCCGGAGCTTCAATTATGCCCCAGAGACTGTGGGGTAATATGGTCCTGGACCCAGTGATGAGTGTCATTCCCCAATGGGGAGATGACTGGTAACATAATTCTGTATTTTTATCAGACTTTCCTTAATGAGTCACCGAAAGGTTTTTTTTTTTTTAATTTTTTATCACCAAAAATAGTTATTTCTGTTTGGGGATGAAAGGATAACTAAATACTTTTTAGACAGTAACACTAACTCCAGTTTCTGTCCATGAGAGAGTAACAGGAGCTAGGTTTACTCTCCTGGTTGTAAGAGCTACAACACTGCACAAAATATATCAAATGATGGTTTTCAGGTTACTAAACATCAGGCAATGAAGGATAGAGATTCCTGAAAGATTGAAAATAAATGAAATGAGTTTGTGTTGCTTTAATGCTATGAGAGAAGCCACAGTACAGGCAGGGGACACAGGCTTAGCTTTGAACCCTGGGCTCCAGTGTGCGGAACAGATGATCAGAAAACAGAAGCTAATCATATAAATCAGCTCTACAGAGCTTAAGACTGCCCTTGCCTTGAGAATTTGTAAATAGTTTATGATCAATGTTCCAGGATAAGGAAATCACTCAAAGCTGGGGAAAGAACCACCTGTAAGTATTCCCAGTATTAGAGGGAATAGTACAGGATAAGTACCAGATTGGAAATCAAGTTCATAGGACAGTGGGTAGAAAATGCAGAAGCATTTTGCATTGGTAGTAGGGAATAACTGTTCCTTGACAGTACCTAATTTCAGCCCTAACTCCACCTATCAAGTAGTAAAATTAAGAAACAGAATCATCAAGCTGCCTCCAAGTAATATAACTATCCACTCAAGGAAGCTCAATGAACACCAACCATAAGAAACATGACCAAAATTATACCAAGACACTATGTCCAACTGTCAAAAGTACAGATAAATAGAAAATCTTATCAATAAACACACACTGGCATGCATGGACACACACACATATACACACAATATATTAAATTTAGAGGACTAATTTAGCAGCAGACTTGTCAGAAACAATGCAAGAAAGAAGAAATGGAGTAATGTCTTTACAGTACTAAAAGAAACCATCAAAGTTTGCGCTCAATGAAAGTATCTTTCAAAAATGAAGGTGAAACAACTTTTTCAGACATGAAAAGTTGGAAAAATTCATCACTGGCACACCTGTACTATGAGAAATGTTAAAGGAAAGTTCTTTAGGTAGAAGAATATAATACCTGATGACCTACAATATAATATAATATAATACCTGATGAACTACAATATAATACCATGGACCTACACGAGTGATGAAGAGCACTGTAAAAGGTAAAACCCTAGGTAAATACATCATTTTCTAATTATTTAATTCTATTTAATTACTTTAAACAAAAATAATAACAATGTATTATGATGATAATGACATAAATACAAGTAAAATATATGACAACACTAGTATAAAGGCCAGGAAGGAAGACACAGAAGTATATTATGAAAAAAGTGACAGAATATGACATTAAGGTAGACTGATCAGTTAAAGATATATTTTATAACCCTTATGTAACCACTAAAATAACAAAATAAAGAGTTAGAGCTAATAAGGCAAAAAAGAGATTAAATGAAATAATAAAAACTACCAACCAAAACAAGCACAAAAAAATTAAAAATTAAAAAATACATGGGACAAATAGAAAACATGTATCAAGACAATAGTGTTAAACATAAGTATATTAATAATCACATTAAATGTAAATGGTTGAAAAACATACCAAATGAAGAGCATAGGTAGACTAGATAAGAAAGCAAGACGCAAATACGTACTCCTCCAAGAAACACATTTCAATTATAAGACTTAATGTAAAGCAGCAAAGAATTTTTTCATTCATTTCTAGACTAAAAATATCAATTCTCTGGGATAAAAGGAATGAAAAAAAAAACTTTCTAACTCTTCTTATTACAGTGTTCCCAGGCCCATCCTCTCTCTCACTTGATTGCTTGTAAAGGTCCATCATCTTACCCCTGTCCCTAAAGCTTCAGACAGGTAGAAAAGAAAGTGTGCACTGAGCAAGGAGTGGTCGCAAGCAAGCTACATCCATCAGCCACTAGAGGAACACAATGTGAAATAACTAGAGTATGAACTGCCTTCCTTTATGTGAGAAACCTCACCTTCCATGGTGCTCAGCTATTCCCCACCTACTCCACCAACCCTCTGGTCCTCTGTTCCATATGAAGCTTCCCACATGATTGATAGCAGGGGAGTGCCTGGCCTACATTAGAGTAGGGTATGTCCCAGCAGACACAGGTGAAATCCATCTTGCTTAACCCTTCCTTCTCCCACAAGCTTATCTTTAAACCAGTCACCAAATCTGGTTGACTCTGACTCCTAACTATACCTAGACCTTTTCTTGGTTGAAGTTCTCAATTAGTTTTCACCTGACAAATGCATTAGATTTAGATACATTCCCTGCCTTCATTCTTTCTGTCAAACTACCCACTATCCTGGCCCTGAGAGAGTCATAAATTATAATAGAGATTGAAAACCTTGAAAACCTTCCAAGGCTCCAAACTTCCTCTAACACAAAGTCCAAACTCCTTAATGCTGTATATGGTAGCATGCTTTATAATCTGACTTCACCCTATGTTTCCAACTTTATCCCGTCTCTCTCAGATTTAACCTTTATAATCCAGCCACATGGAAGGTTCTGGAGCACAGTTATTGTCTCTCCATGATTTTCTGCATGTTCTGTCCTAAAGCAGGCATTTCTCCTTTTCTCTCTCTGATGGACTACTAACTTTTTTAAGAACCGGCTCGAGTTGCTTATTAATTAATTAATTAATTTTTAACAAGCCTTCTTGGAATGTATCTATTACTGTGAGACATCAAGGGTAAAAGATGATTAATTAAAGCACAAATGCTGGGGGTGGGTGGGGAAAAAAAACCACAAATGCTACTCTTAATGCATTCACACAAATGCTATTCTTAAGAAGCTCAGTGTTCCTTATGTAGTGTATGTAATAAGAAGCATAGATGTACAACAAATAATTATACCACCATAGGTGATAGACTGTTACTCCAATGGCCCGTGTGAGCCATGCTTCTTGGTATTCATGACCTTATGTGGTTTCTCCCAGCTGACTTGGGATAGGACATATTACACATGCTTTGGCCGGTGGGACTTAGCTAGCATGATTCAAGCAGAGCCTTGATAAGCGCTTGTAAATGTGGGCTTGTCCTTTTGGAATGCTGTCTTGGAAGTCAGCAGCCATACTGCAAGGATATGCAGGCCACCCTGGAGGGTAAAATACCACATGAAGAGAAAAAGTCCTATGGAAAGGAGCTGAAGCATCCCATGCTGCATGAGTAACCCCAGTCAACGCCAAGTAAGGGGTCTCCTAGCCCAGCATGCAGGGCCTGCTGAACATTAAGTAGAGCAGAAGAATCACCACAAAATCAAGAGAAATAAGTCATTATTGTTTTAAGTCAGTATATTTTGGGGTGGTGGGTAACACAGCAACTATTTAGATTAAAAGGGACACAGTACCTAAGTACAGCCATGGAAGGCTGAATGTACACCATTCAGGAGCAGCGGAGAGAAGGAAATGATCACCTCTGTGCATCATGGGAAGAGAAAGTGTCAGGGAACATTTCACAGAGGTGAAGCTGGAGCTGTGTGACAAGGATAGAGAGGAGTTATACAGAACAGAGAAAAGGTATCACTGGTTGAGAAAATAGCAAAGGCACATGTGCATGACCCAGATTGGCATTTAGGTGAGAAGCTCTACATTGCTGGGGAGAAAAGCATGAAAGGGGAGATGAGGTTGATGAGACTGAGGGGAGGGAGTAGGGCAGGCAAGGACTAGGCCACACAGGTCCTTGTGTAAAAGAAACGCTGAGAACAATGGTTTTCATTTTGAAGCCAGTGAGAAGCAACTGCCAGGTCTCACCTATAAAACTCACATAATCAGTTTATAATTTTAAAAAGTCATTCTATAGTGTCTGTAGTGATACATATAAATTGGAAGAGGAAGAAAAACCAAATGCAGGGAGGCTACAGTCATAAGCTAAAGATAGTTGAGACAGGCACAGAAAGAAGTAGATGGATTATAGAGCCATTTAAAAGGTCTGAACAGCACTTTGGAGTAATTGCAAGTGTTTTAAAACAGTGTGAAAACTGATTTACTCATACAGGCTATAATTACTTTTCAAACTGATTGTCCCCCCAGAACATACTTCTCTAGGACATGGAATTCTCCACTTTTCCCTGCTGCCTGCACAGAAGAGGTACTCAGTGAAAACATGCTAAATAAATGAAGATATTTTGTGGGCAGGTCTGGAAAAATATTTGTCATACATGATACTATCTTTATAGGTCAAAAACACACTTAACACAAGTCATTTTAATCCATCTGCAACTTAGCTACTGCTTCCTACAGAGCTCTAGCTGGTAACACCTTATCTCAATCAAAACTTTAAGTTTTAACTTGTGAATACAGACTGCAGTATTTATTTATTTATTTGCTTGTTTGTTTATTTAATTATTTAGGTAGAAGAACTGGGGTGTGTAAGCCAGAGGTGCAGAGAGTGAGAGGATACACCAGAGACAGAGTAGGGAGCAGAACAGGCAGATCTAATGAAATATACTGCGGAGGGGAGCAGCGGGTGAGACAGTCGGGGTCTGCTGCACCATATGTGGATTAGCTCTTTGGCCAGGGATCAATTCAGATCACAGTGGTGATAGCACTGAGATTTAACTCCTAGGCCACCAGAGAGGTCCACTATATCCTAAATTTCTCAAAATGTGAGTAAACTTCCCACTATACCAGTAAAGTAGACCTTACTGTCATGAAATTCATGTAATCTCGGGTTCAGTTTTCTTCATAACACACCTTAGGAAGCACCACACATAAAAAGAGAATCTGACCCTGGATTTATTTTAAAAAATAAATCAAATCCATACGAATACTAATAAAAAAACAAACAAAACCCTCAAATCTTACCTCTAGTGTCTTATCCAATTTGGCAGCTAGCTTTCCGATTTCATATAACAGTTGGGGGCTGATGGAAATCTCAGCTATAGGTCTTCCTGGGAGGTAAGTCAGCAGCCTCACCAAGTAGCTTTTGGTTTCAGATCCACTATCTAGATGGGTGGAAATACATATTCTTTCAATTAATCTTGAAAAAAATAATTGGAGGTCATTTTGTTTTTGCAATTATTGCCAAGAATAAGAGAGACTACACAACACACACACACACACACACACACACACATACACACACAATGTGCCAACCAGCAGTACTCCGGAGTGGATGACTCCAATAGGTAGAACAGATCAGCCTTAGAAGATGAGAATCATTCATTCACATGGAAACAAAATTACAGCTTCAACTCTGCCAGCCTTAGCACTAAACATAAGTGGATGCCTAAAACACTTCTTCCTGAGTTTACAATTGAGGAACGTGTGATATAAGAAATGACTGCCTCGAAATCAAAGCTTCTCAGAGACAAACTGGGGAACAGCCTGTTTGCAACACATGACAATAACTAATTACTCCTCAGGAACTATTATGGGTGTTAGTTGTTTGGAGCAATGCAAATTTAGATAGACAGGATGAACAATGAAAAGAGAAAAAGAGGGCCTCCCTTGGTGGGTGGCGCAGCAGATTGAGCGCCATGCTGTGACGCTGTCTGCAGCCCCTGCAGGTGTGTTCAATTCCTAGCCAGCCAGGGAGAAACCCACAGGGCGCAGCAGACCTCTCCTACTTTGACCTGCTGCTCCCCTCAGCAGTGTCCTTGGTCTGTCCACCTGTTCTGCTCCCCGCTCTGTCCCTGGTGAATTCTCTCACTGTCCTACGCCTCTGAATGTACCCCAATTCTTGTATAAATAAATAAATATTAAAAAAAAAGAAAATAGAAAAAGACTGAGATTTTAGGCCTTCAAAAAATGCCAAGGAATTGAGTTCAGGCTGCTTCTTAAGAGCATTCTGGCAGGCATATCTTAACATTTTGGCATTTAGAATTGAAAGAGACCAAGTCTCATGGAGGACTTGTAGTCTTACGAATTTAAGTGGCATAACCAAAGTCACACAAACAGTAATGACAGAGCTGGGATCTAAAATTCCTGATTTCTAGTTCTGTGTTCTATCAACTATGTAACAGCACCAAAACAGACTGCTGCTGTGATGAATACAAACATTTAATTATGTTTCTGCCTAACCAGCCCCCCTCCAAAAAATTTCCTCTGGTTTTTGCAAGACCTCTTAGTTGCTTATCCATGAGATCCTTTCTAAGCAGAAGTGTTAGCATCAGATCCCAGGTCTAACCCCTTCTGAATAGGAGCCCCAATTCCCACCTGGGTGATGCTGTGGCTACTCTCAACAGCTGAAAAATAACCATGTCTACACTTGGAACTATGAATCTGTTCTTGGTATTTCTATTTGTAGCAAAATGTAGTAGTAATGTATATGGATAAGTGACAGATGAATGAGTTGGTCTCTTACCTATGGACATGAGAGAGGTTATGTTGTCCCCTTTAGTATGAAAAACAGAGGCTGTAGGAAATCCAGCTGCTCTCAGAAACATGATGATGTGACTCTGCACTTCAATCAGGTCTGGAGTTTTGCTAGACTCAGTGTTATTTATTTTGAGGACATATTCAGCTGGACCATCAGTAGTGTCTTTGGTTCTTGAAATGCATACATGAAAGTTTTGGTCATCATAGCTAGGAAGTGGCTGGATCTTGGAAACCTTTAACCCAAATACTGATTCCACAAGTGCACAGGCTTGTACTTCACTGAAAGCGGGTTTGGTAAGAGCCTGTGATTGCTGGTCATCTCCAGTTGACATTATGTCTGAGGGGGGGGGGAAATCTAGAAAGGGGATATATAATACATATGTTTATTTAAATGATTTCTCTTAAGATAAATCAACAATGTTTCTCAATATTGATTTTGTACTTCTTGAGATTATTAATTTTCACCCAAAGTTCAAAAATTAAGTTCAGCAAATGAAGTAAAGTATATGTTTTGACAAGTGAATAAACACCCTTGCAGCAAAAATTATTTTAAAACTCACCTTGCATGCTGATGTTACCTTTCAAATGACAGAACACCCACCAGGAAAGCATATTGGTATTATCTAGTCAAATTCCTTCTACCCCTTCCCCCCATCAACTTTCTTTACAGGGGAAATTTCAGTCTTGAGATGTTCCGTGCCTTACCCAATTTTACATACCAAGTTACCAAAAGAAATCAGCTCTTTTAAACCAGGATTACGTCATTTTGACTATGTCGCCACCAGTTTTGGGATTAAAATGTAAACGAAAATACAGGGTCTTACTTTTCCATTCACAAATTTTGTTAAATTATAAGGATTATCATCTAGCATATCACCTGTATTTTAAACATAAAAGCTTGGACCGATCAGCAACGCACCATGTGAGGCAATGTGAAGATATGAAGACGACAAACTTGGAGGGCTCAATTATATTTGAAGAGTTACCTCATCATCACAGATATCCTGAACAATAAAAAATTTAAAATCTTTTCAGAACAAATTTACAAGGTAGTAATATTAAAGCAATAGAATGCCAGAGAAAACCCTGAATTAAGTATAAACTGAAATGACTGAATTAATTCTAAAGTGACTGAGTTAACCTCAAACAGTAAAGAATAAATATTCAGTATATTTAGCATCACCAAGACAACAGTTAAAGATTTCTCTTTACGAACAGGAATAATCTGAGATCTACTCTTCCTGAAGTGGACCAACAATGAAAATAGCCAAATTTGAACATCAGCAGAAGTTCCAGTCTGCTGATGCCTGAGCTCTGTAGCTCAGGGAAACAAAAGCCCAAAGTAAAAAAATGTTGATGCATGTGTGCATGTGCCTGAGTAAAGTCACATGGATCACTGAGGCCTTGCTGGGCTGAGAGTGGGGAGATGGAAGACATGTGTGGGAAAGGCTGATCCCTTCTGAGAAGTGAGAAGGTTTTACTGCTCAGCTAGAAAGGAACTTTTGAAGATTCCTACACTTGACCTGAACTTAAGGGAAAAAACAAAAAACAAAAAAACAGGAATAAGGCAAAGATGCCCGCTGTCATCACTTCGTTTTAATTTAGTATTAGAAGTTTTGGCTAGCGCTATCAAATAACAGAAAATAAAGGGAATCCAAAATGGGCCTCCCTGGTGGTGCAAGGAGTTAAGCAACTCACTGTGAAGCAATCTGCCGGCTCTGCAGCACAAGTTTGAATCCTGGCCAGCCAGGGAGAAACCACATGGCACGGCAGACCTCTCCTGTCTCGCCTGCTGCTCCCCTCGGCAGTGTATTTCGTCAGTCTGCCTGTTCGGTTCCCCATTCTGTCTCTGGTGAATTCTCTCGCCCTCCACATCTCTGACCTGTACCCCAACTCTTGTATGAATAAATAAATACATCAAAAAAGGGGGGGAATCCAAATTGGAAAAGAAGCAAAATTATCACTTCAATTGTAAAGAATAAGTGTTCTATTACTAGGAGGAAAAAAGGCTTAAAATAAAAATTAGGGTTATTTAAAAATATTACGTTATGAGCTTATGAACCAAAACTATGATAAAGCTATGACAAAAATTCAGGAAAACTAATCTTGAGAAGATGGAATTAAACTTTTGTGACTGGGATAGGTTGGGGCGGGGGAGATTGATTTCTTCTTGGTAACGCCACTCTCTGCTACACTTACCTGTCAATGGAGGCTCCTGAATATCCTCTGGAAACGGAGTATTTAATATCCTTGCAATTTCACATCCCTCTTTCCCCAAACTATCTTTATTCCAACCTTAATTCATGCTAAGCTTAAATTAACACTTCAGGATTGAGCTGCACTTTAGGGCACAATTTTGACTGCTGTTCCATGGATGTTGTATTGCCTAAAAGGAATCTCAGGAAGATTAGCTCTCAGGAATAGAAATCCGAACAGGTGTTGCTTCTGGTAAGGAAGAAGCATGAGGGCACTTTTCTGGGAGGAAGATGTTCTGCATCTTACCCAGGCTTTGCTTGCGCGGGTGCATACATTTCTCAAAACTCAGCTGAGAGTTACAGCACGGAATCTGAGCGTGTCATTGGATGCCGCCGTAACAGCCACTCGCCGGCCGCCGGCAGCAATCCCGAGGGCGGGGCGCGGCCGCCTCAGGGGGGTGTGCGCGGCGCTTACCTGCGGCGCTTACCTGCAGCCCTCGGGAGGACGCGCGGCCGCCCGGCCCCGGGGTCCTGGCAGCACGCTGGGCGCGGGGGTCTCGCAGGACCTCGCTTCGCGGGATCGGGTCTTCCCGCAGCCCGTGAGCGCGGAGTGGCCCGCCCCACCCGGCCCGCCCGGCTCCAGGACCAACCCGGGCCCAGCCCGAGCCCGGGGGTGGGAGGTGCCGCCGCGCACGCGCAGCTCCCTCCGGCGCCGGGCCCCGTCCCGACCCGGGGCGCCCGCCGCCCCCCTCGGGGCTGCGCTCCCTCCCGGCCGCGCCAGGGCGGTCACCCCCAGCCCGACCGCGGGAGTCAGCTGCGCCCGCGGCACCCCCAGCCAGCCCGGAGGAGCCCCCGAAATCCCGCGACGTTTGACAAGGCGGCGGGATTTGGGGGCGTCGGGAGAGCTGGGGGTGCAGGGGGGGTGAGCCTTCAGCTGCGGGGCGGGGCGGGGCGGGCCCGGCGCCCCCCACTTCTCCCCCCCAACCCCCCCTCCCCGGACCCGGGTGCGGCCGGAGCAAAGGTCAGCCCCGGGGAGCCTGGTGGCTGTTGCAGAGGGAACAAAGCTGAATGCATGAGTTCCAGGAGAGCTGTGGCAAAGGGCAGGCTTGTGGGAAAGAATCTGGAGAAAGGAATTTCGTAAATGGCTAGGCGAAGATTGGAATGAATTTAAGTAAAAGAAAATTCTAAACAAAAGCATATTGCCACTCAATTCGAATTATTTTTTCTCTCTTAAGTAGACAGAATTTTCTTCGATGTTGAGTCTACTCAACATGAAGTTATAAGCGGGTTTTCCTTTATCAGAACTATGTAAACTTCTTTACTTTTTACTTTTTACTTTACTATCTACTTTAAATTCTTTCATTGTCACTTTAAGTAGATAATTGAGTATTAAATTTCATAATGATCTGTATAATTCTAGACGGGCGCCTGGAACAATCTCAAAAAGATTTGTTTTCATTCCTAATGAAATGAAAGCCATTAATCTAAAGAGGCTTATTTGGTATGTCAAAGTGGATGAAAGTATCCTCAATTGAAAAGCAATACTAAGCCTCCTTTATTTGTATTTTGTAATTATAGGTTGCTCCTACCTGCCTGTGAATATGCAGGTGCCTCTCTTTTTCCTTCTCTTTTTCCCAATGAACCTGTCCTTTTAAAATGTAAAATAATAAATATAGGTTACAAGTGTTCTAAATTCTAATGAAATTCTTAAAATGTCCTGGTATAATGTGAAATTCTTTGAAGGAACTTTGCTGGTATGTGTGGGAATTCTGTGAGCACAAACCTGGGAAATTGGAAACTCGGTAGTTGGCAGGGGCCGTTGAAAACTTTCTCCCCAACCCTCTTCTGGAGGAGATCAAAGAAATGCTAGACCAACTCCAAAATAAGCCCAAGAACAGAGAGAAGGATTTCTGAGATAACTCACTAAACACTCGGTCATACAGATACTGCAGCCCCACAGATGCTAAGCAGAAGTAGGAGCAGTCTGGTAACAGCCATTGCTGGCAATCATAGTGACAAGGCAGCACACGTGCAATCACCACACTCAAGTGCAATGCAGCCTCCTAGTCAAGCAAAATTCCATCCCAGAGCTTGAGCCTAGTGGTGCAGACCTAGCTTCTCCCCAGGAAGACTCAGGCTTCATAGATTGCAACCTGTTGTAGAAAGGAGCGTCAGGGAGGCGGCATGGGAGGACAACCTAAGCACAGAATATAGCTTGCTGTGGAACAAAAGAAGAGAGGGCAGAGGTTACAACTTCACTCTTCAAACTAAAATTGAGTATTAAAGCCACACACTCAACTGCCCCCTCTCACACCAAGGTAAACTAAAGAGAAACAAACAAAACTAAATCCCCACTACTACATCTATGCACTTACACAACTCACAACACATATCAACTAAGGCAACACTCATGCTTAGGAAACAAGGAACATCTGAACACAAGGTAGAAAAGCAAAATGAGAACAGAAGTCCTGAGAAAAATTTAAAGGATACAGAAACCAAAGACCTATCAGACTTCAAAACAAAAGGCTAACAAATGCTAAATGAACTACTGGACAGTTAGTCAAAAACAGATAGGGAGGTGCAAGATCTTAGAAAGAAGATGCAAAAAGAAAGAGAGTTCTTCACCAAAAGATTAAATATATAAAAAGATGACAAAAAGAGACTCTGAATGAAATGCAAATAAATTTAGACAGCATTTTACTCAGAATTCAATGGGTAGAAGAAAAAATTTCAGAAGTAGACCACTCAAATGAATAAAGAGAAAGAATTAGGACAAAGGAAAAATAAGGAAACTATATCATACTCAATTAGAAGAAGACACTTTCTGCTCCCATTTCTCTCTCTTGACCCTCAAGACCCTAATTGTAAAGAAATAATAACTGAAAATTTCCCAAACTTAAAGAATGAATGTCCAGGAAACAGGGTGCCCACATTCTAAGTGCAAAAAAACCTACATCTAGATATATTATTGTCAAAGAATCAAAAATCAAACAAAAAAATTTGCAGAAGCAAGGATAAAATAACTTTACAAAGGCCCCCCCAAATTAGGTTTTGCCTGGACCTCAGCCCCAGACACTTGTCTAGATGAGAGAGAGTGGAAGGAAGTGTTCACAATCCTAATTGACAATAAATACCAGCCAAAAATACTCTACCCAGCAAAATTATCATTCAAGTATGTAGGTGAAATAAAGTTTTTTCCTGCCAAACAGGAAGTAATGGAATTTATTACCACCAGAACTTCCTTTCAAGAAGAAAAGAAAAAATGAAGCACAAATTCCTTAGTAAAATGACAATATCAGTGCAACACCAGAAGCATAAGCAAGAATATATGAATCAACAACAAAACACTAAGTGGGAGGAAGAAATAGACAGAACCTGAGAAGTGAAAAGTTGGACAGCAAACACCAGTTCATAAAGGAATTAAGATATTGGAATTTAAGTAAAAATCCATGGTGACCACAACCCAAAAATCCAGAATAGAAACCCATAGATGAAGAAACCAAGAAATTATAGAAATACTAAGTAAAGCCATCTAGAGTGACCAGAGAGAAACAAATGGAAAAAGAAACAACAGGAAAATGAAATAAAAAATAAAAAAAAATGAGACTCAGTACTCAGTCACTAGCGCCTGGGCATCAGACGCGAGCCTCAGTATGGGTTTTGTAGGGGCCACCTTTTCACTACATTCCCCCAACTGCACCCAAGAAGGAATCCTGCTCATTGCTCAGGCAACAGCATATCCCACCAGACTGGTGCCCCAGCCTAGGACTCACAGGACCTTGTTCTACATCAGGGATGCTCAGCAACCCCCTACTAAGCACCCTTGAATCCAGGCCCCAGCCACCAGCTCCTTTGGAGCAGACGCAAACCCCAGTCAGGGTCGTTGCAGGACCCAGCTGTTCAATGTAGGCCCCCAGCCACAAGGGGAAATACATCCAATTCAGCACTCAGCCACCAGCGCCTGGGAAGCAGACACAAATGCCAGTCTGGGCCTTGCAGGATGTAGCTTTTCACTGCGGGCCACAAGCTGCACCTGGGAAATGCTCAGACACGACCACTTAGGGCTTAGGGCAGACACAAGCCCAGGTTGGGGCCTTGCAGAATGTAGCTTTTCACCTTGGACCACTAGCCACACACAGGTAGTACATCCCATTCAGCAATCAGCTTTGGGAGCAGATACAAGCACCAGTCTGGGCCTTGCAGGACCTAGCTTTTCAACACATGCCCCCAGCCACTTGGGAAGTGCATCCCACTCAGCACTCAAGCCACCAGCACCTAGACAGCAGACTCAAGCCCAGCCTGGGCCTAATACGGCCTCCTTCTATATCAGGGGTTTTCACCAATCCTCTGTCTCCTTAACCATCAGAAACAGGTCCTGAGCTACTGCTCCTGAGTGAGGCAAGATCCCAGCAACTCAGCCTCTTGACCCAGCATCCCCCCAACCCTCCAAGCCACCAGAACAAAGTCTGGAATTGTTTTGGGGGAGGTTCTAGCACCATGTGAGATCCCCAGTTGTTATGCCCACCATCAATTTATGCACAACAAAGTCCCAACTAAAGCAGTGGAAACCAAAAGCAAACAATGGGGAGAAAGAAAAACACAAATGGCCAAGCAACCCCTCAAGGGAAAAATATACCAGAGAGAAAACAGAATTCAGAGTCACACTACAGAGACGTGGAGGAGCTTCTTTTATTATCAGACTTAGAATTTAACATAGCTGTAATCAAGAAAGCTAAAGAATGGGATCAACACAAAGAAAACTCAGAAAAGGAAATGAATACTATGAGAAACACATTAAATAAACAGAAGAGTAAATCTGAGACATTAAGCAAGAAAATAATGGAGTTGAAGGGAAAGCAAAAAATTTGGGAAAATTCATAGAAGTAGAATAAATCAAATGGAAGAATGAATCAGTGATCTGGAAGTGTAAAAGAGGTAAGAAGATAGAAAACGAGAGAAACAAAAGAAAAAGAATGAAGAAACTCTTCCAGAATTATCTGACACTATGAGAAAAGGAAATAGAAGAATCATAGGAATCCCAGAAGGAGAACAGAGAGAGAGGGGAACTGAGACCCTACTTAGGGAAATAGTAGAGGAGAACTTCCCAAATTTGAAGAAGGAAGTGAATATAAACATACAAGGAGCACAGACAACACCTAGCTACCTAAATGAAAGGAAAATCACAGCAAGACACACATATGAATAAAAACTCAAGAGTCCAAGACAAAGAAAAAGTAACAAAGCTGACAAGGGAGAAGAAATACATAACCTATAAATTAAACTAACATAGAATTAAACTAACATCAAATCCCTCTAAGGGCAAAAAGAAAATGGAAGGGCCTCCCTGGTGGCACAGGGGTTAGAGACACTGCCACCAAGCTACCACCAGCCACTGCAGTAGAGTTTGATCCCAGGTCCGCCAGGGAGCAACCCACAAGTCTCAGCAGACCTCTCCTGCCTTGCCTGCTGCTCCCCTCAGCAGTGTATTTCAGTAGATCTGCCAGTTCTGCTCCCCACTCTCTCCGGTGAACCCTCT